GACCCCAGGAGCTGAGAGGACCAGGGCAGAGCAGCTGAAGGTGAGTTGGGGCAGGTCAGTGCTGGAAGACACAGAGCAGCTTCGGGAGCTCAGTGACCCAGGCAGATCAGCTGCAAGTGGTGTGAGGGACTAGAGGAGTCAGCTAAGGCCCAGGAGCTCAAGAAGCCAAGGCAGAGCAGCTGCAGGAGAGCAGAGGCAGGTGGGTGCTAGAGGGGCCAGGACAGCACCAGGGGCTCAGGGACCCGGAGAGAGCAGCTGAAGGTGAGATAGGGCAGGTTGGAGGAATCAAGGCAGCCCCATGAGCCCAGGGGAGCAGGGCAGAGCAAAGGCCTGTGAGCGGGGGAACTAGGTCTTGGCGGGGAAAGGATAGGCCCAGGAACTCAGGGGAGCAGGAACCAGGGCAGAACAGCTATAGCTGATCAAGGACAGGTGGGTGCTAAAAGAGCCAGGACAGCCATAGGAGCTCAGGTGGCCAGGGGAGAGCAGCTGCAGGTAAGCAGGGTCAGGTGGGTGCTGGAGGGACCAGGGCAGTCCCAGGAGACAGGGGAGCAGAGCAGAGCAACTGAAGCTGAGCTGGGGTTGGTCAGTGCTCGAAGAATAATAGGAGCCCCGGGAGCTCAGGGACCTGGACAGAGCAGCTGCAAAAGAGCAGGGGCAGGCGCGGGTTAAGGAGCCGGGGCAGCCCGAGGAGACAGGGCAGCAAGGCAGAGCAACTACATGTGAGCCAGTGCAAGTGGTGCGGGAGGGGAGACGATAGCCCCAGGAGCCCAAGGGAGCAGGAACCAGGACAGAACAGCTATAGCTGACCAGGGGCAGGTCGGTGGGTGCTAGAAGGACCAGGTCAGCCACAAGAGGTGGGGAATCCAGGGAAAAGCAGCTGAAGGACAGCAGGGTAGGTGGGTGTTGGAGGGTCCAGGACAGTCCCAGGAGACAGGAGAGGAGGGCAAAGCAAATGTCTGTGAGCAGGGTAGCTAGGTGCTGGAGGGGAGAGGATAACCTCAGGAAGTCAGGGGAATGGGACACAGCAGCTTATGGTGAGAAGCAGCAGGTGGGTGCTAGAACAGCCAGGGCAGGTGCGGGAGCTCAGGGGGCCAGGGACAAGCAGCCACAGCTCACAGGGTCAAGTGAGTGACAGAGGGGAAGGGACATCTCCAGGAGCCCGGGAACCTGGGCAGAGTAGCTGCAGGAGAGCAGGGCCCAGTGGATGCTGGTGGTACCAGGGCAGCCCCAGGAGATCAAGGGAGCACAGCAGCAATAGGTGAGCGCAAGTGCTTTGGTGCTGAATGGCCCAGAACAGCCCTAGCAGCTCAGGGGACAAGGGAGGAGACACTCCCAGTGTGCAGAGGCAGGTGGGTGCAAGAAGTGCCAGAGGAAGGCTCAGGATCTGAGGGGACCAGAGCAGAGCAGCTTAAAGTGAGTTGGGTGGGTGGGTGCTAGAAGGGCCAAGGCAGCCCCAGGAGTCATCATATGTGAGGCCGACAGGAAACAGGGCTGGCAGACCCAGCATGAGGCCTCTCAGTACAGAGGCAAAGCCTGAGCAGCCCTCACCCTAGAAGGAGAGGAGCAGAGGAGGGGTCAGGACTGCTCAGGCTGAGGTATGTCACCAAATGGCATGGCAGGCAGCCCCCTGGGGTTCAGAGGACCTGCTCTTCCTCCTCCCACTTGAGCCAGCTCTCCTGTCACTGCTCTGCCTGTCCCTCTGAGCACCTGCTCTGCCCCCTCCCACCTCACAATCTACCTGTATGTGCAGGAAACTGAGGCCTGGGGTTAGCAGGGGTGCTGGGAGGAAAGGAACACAGGGACTTCAGGGCAGGGCTTGCTGCAGAGTCTGGGCGCTGAGCAACAGTCTTGGGTGAGAATATAGAAGGGACCATGGGCAGGAAAGTTCTCTGGGGCTGGTGCCCCAAACATACCTGATGGGTAGCAGTTCTGGGGTCAGTCTGGCTCTGTTCTGGGGGCTTGAGGGGACTGGGGCGGGGGAAACATGCTGAAGCAGCACAAGGAGGAACAGGACAATCAGTCCCACAGAGGGATGACAGGGGACCACTGAGGGACAGAGCAGAGTCTGCTGGATAGTGGGGTGCAGGTGAGGGAAAGGGAGGGTGGCGGGGCCCTGGGCTGAGCGTAGCAGATGAGGGACAGGGGGACAGGGAGACTTAGTTAGCATCCTCAGGGGTCAGAGTGCACTCCAACCTCTAGGGCTCAGAGCTGCTGGCAGTAGCAGAAGGTGCTGGCAGCATGCAGGGGATGAGGTAAGGGTAGGAATGCAGGGTGAGAGGAGGCGCTGTGCACCTGAGCTGAGCTCAGGAGGGCCTGACCTGGAGCAAGCCCTGGGGCATGCAGGACGGAAGAGGTGCCCAGGGCTTGGCAGAACCTGGGTAGGTGTGGGAGACAGCGCTGTGTGTGTGTGGCCCTGAATGGATCTCATAAAAGCACTCAAGAGAGCCGAGGAGTAGCTGGTCCCAGAGCCCAGGATTAGGAGCCAGGCTGGCAGGTCTGGAGAGTCTGGGACTGAGGAGATACTTCCTTGGGTTTCCTTCAGGGCAAGAGTGGGGGTAAGGGGTCTTGGCTCAGAGAGGACCCCAAAGGACACAACCCTGTAAGGCCAAGTCCAGGGCCAAGGCTCTGGGGCTAGGCTCTGGAGGCAGAACTCAGGTAGAGGTTGCCCAATGTTCCCATGCCAAGGAGGGGACTCTCACCAGGGCAGGGCCAAGCTAAATGACAACATTGTGGCTGGCAGAGATCACAGGACCCAAGAATGGGGACACAAGCGAGGGCAGCCATCCACAGGAGGTCATATATGGGCAAGGACCTTTGGGTCCCAGCAAGACCCCAGGGGAAACACAAGCAGAGCCATAAAAGGGCTGCAGGCCCTGGGCTTCACCAGCTCTAGTGGTTCATGGAGTGCTGACTGGGCTGATGAAGACAGCTGTCCAGGAGCAGGGGCAGGAGGTTGCAGAGAGGCACAGAGACCCCGCTGGAGACCTGGGGCTGCAGCATGCTGGAAGCATATTGAGGATGGGCTGAGATTAGGAAGCCAATGGCCTGGACTTGTCTGGAGCTTTTGGGAAAGGTTGGCTAAGGTAGGCAGATGGGGCCAGGCCCATGGGCCAAGTGGTGGACAGGCATGGCCAAACGCCTAGACACAGGACTCTGCCTGGATCTTGCAGAGCACCCAGATCCTGAAGAGCCAAGGACAGAGGATACTCTGTGGTCCAGGGTCAACTGTGGGGTTGTAGAGACAATGGGCTGGCCTGGCCCAGAGTTTACAGGGAAGGATAGCTAAGGTGGGCAGGTAGAACAGGACAGGGGGCTCCAGGGACCACAAGCACATACCCAGCACCCTGCCTAAACCTTGTAAAGCACCTACACAATGGGAAGCCAAGGGCAGAGGTCCTCCATGATCCAGGGTCAGCTATGTCCAACATCGAATCACTTGGTACCTTTTTCCTTGCAGCCAGCACAACGCCCCCTTCCGTCTTCCCTCTGGCTTCCGGCTGTGTGGACACATCTGGCTCCATGAATACCCTGGGCTGCCTGGTCAAGGGCTACTTCCCCGAGCCAGTGACAGTGACATGGAACTCAGGGGCCCTGACCAGCGGAGTGCACACCTTCCCGGCTGTCCTTCGGTCAGGCCTGTACTCCCTCACCAGCATGGTAACTGTGCCCTCCAGCCAGAAGAAGGCCACCTGCCATGTAGTCCACCCGGCCAGCAGCACCACGGTGGACAAGGATGTTGGTGAGGACAATTCCCAAGGAGATATGGGAGCCCTGGAAGACAAGTGTGTGGTCAGCTGTCCTGATCAGTCTATGGTATCTACCATAGACTCCAGGAAGCTCCTGTTTGGCTCCTGCGTGGAGGCCTCTGACCTCCATGTTCAGGGAGATGTCTTCTGCTGGCTTGTGCCAGGCCCAGGGTGGGTGCAGGCGGGACAACTTGTATATGGGACACAGAGAGATGGCAGCTGGCCTCAGGCCTGCTAGGAGCCTTATCCTGGGGCAGCCTGGGCCTGACTAAGCTCACCCCCAAGGACCAAACCCTCCCCTCCTTGGTATAGCGTCTTCTCTCCTCCAACCCCAGTAACCCCAGCCTTCTCTCTGCAGAGGTCCAGCCTGGCTCCCACTGCAAGCCCTGTCCCAAGTGCCCAGGTGAGTTACCAATCCTCCTCCCCTAACCCAGGAGATGGGTAAACATCTATAGGAGGTCATGTCAGATGGTGAGTCCCAATGTTGACCTGTCTCCTCTGTCTCTCATACCAGCTCCTGAGCTCCTGGGAGGACCATCTGTCTTCATCTTCCCCCCAAAGCCCAAGGACATACTTATGATCTCCCTGACCCCCAAGGTCACATGTGTTGTGGTAGATGTGAGCCAGGAAGACCCCGAGGTTGAGTTCACCTGGTATGTGGATGACAAACAGATGAACACAGCTGAGGCAAAGCTCCAGGAGGAGCAGTTCAATGGCACATTCCGTGTGGTCAGTGCTCTCCCCATCCTGCACCAAGACTGGCTGAATGGCAGACAGTTTACATGCAAGGTCAGCAGCAAATCCCTGCCAGCCCCCATTGAGAAGACCATCTCCAAAGCCAGAGGTGAGAATGCAGTGCAGGCAGGTGGGAAGTTGGACGGCCCCTTGGGGTTAAAACGGATAGAGCCTCCCTGGCCAGCCATCCATCCTGGTATTGAACATGTGCTGACCTTTTGTTCCATAGGACAACCCAAGAGCCCACACATATACCTTCTGCCCCCACACCGAGAGGAGCTGTCCATGGACAAAGTCAGTTTGACCTGCCTGGTCACTGGCTTCTACCCTGAAGACATCCATGTGGAGTGGGAGACCAATGGACATTCACACTACAAGAACACCCCAGCTGTCTTGGACACTGATGAAACCTTCTTCCTCTACAGCAAGCTCACTGTGAACAAGAGCGTGTGGGATTCTGGAAAGGTCTTCACCTGCTCCGTGATGCACGAAGGCCTGCACAATCACATCACTCAGAAGACCATCTCCCGGTCTCCGGGTAAATGAGTGCTGTGCCCAGCAAGTCCTCACTAGCCTGTGGGCTCTTGAGTCCTGCAGGACCCTGTCCCCCAACACCCATGTAAATAAAGCACCCAGCACTGCCTGGGCTCTTGCGACACTGTCCTGGTTCTTTCTGAGGCAGAGAACCTGTGCCATGAGGCAATGGGCTCTGGGTTATGCAGGGGCCAATCTTGCGCTGTAGTCATTAGGGACAGACAGCGGTCTGCATGAGAGTACCACAGCATGTGTCTGCCCTCACAGGGACAGGCATAACCTAGCTGTCCTTCTGCCAGGGCCCATCTCAAGCTGCCATCAGTTCCCTACAGACCCCCAAGGGAAGGAACACAAAGACCTGCCTCTGTAACAGCCTGTCTGGTCCTTCAAATCCTTGTCCTAGGGTCTCTGTCCGCTGCAGGGACTACAGGCCATGCCTATGGGACAGGACCTCCATGACCCACTCACCTGCACAGGGCCACCCTAGGGGACACTGTATACTGCCCAAACATGGGGAAGCTAGCCACCCCTGGGGATATTGTCCACCCACGGGGACACTGGACATCCCTGAAGACACTCACTCCTGTGCTCCCAAGTGGCTAAGGCACTGCCTTGACCACCCCAAAGGAGGATGGTCCAGATACGTGGGAAACCACTGAGCCTTGCACAAAGGGACTAACCTCAGACCCATTAGAACAAGGCTACTAAGCAGCCCCAGCCCACACCGACAGCACACACCTATGGACATCCATGCACATGTGCATACACCTAACACCCTGGGCCCACAGGCAGCCTCCACAGCACCCACCCCACCCGTGCATTCACACCTCACCATGTACACACTGACCAGCTCCCTTGCAGCATCCCCAACGCATAAGTTCCCCATACCCGACTGACCCTGGACACTCAGGCCTCCTCCCAAACCATATGGGGATACACCATTACCACCACCTTTGTCCTACCACCTGTCCAACACCTGTCTTATGCACCAGAGAGCAGGCAGACTAGAGAGCCACAGCCCGTGGTGTCCCAGACCCTGACACTGCCCAACCACTCTAATGGTGAGGACTAGAGGGGTCCACACAGTTCTGGACGCCTGTCATTCCACATGCAGTGTCTGGATAAGCCTGAGTCCAGGGAAAACACTTAGAGGACCCAAGGCTGCTGTCTGGGGAGGGCAGCCAAGGAGAGCTGGCCCGAGTAGGCACAGCTGGCACTTCTGCTCTGGGCTCCCAGCAACCCACACCACTGCGCAGGGAGAGGCCTGGGCGCAGCTGAGGGATACACACTGACCATCCCCTCCTGTCCAGGGCTGGACCTGGATGAGAGCTGTGCCGAGGCCCAGGATGGGGAGCTGGATGGGCTGTGGACAACCATCACCATCTTCATCACCCTCTTCCTGCTCAGCGTGTGCTACAGCGCCACGGTGACCCTTTTCAAGGTTGGCACACTGCCCCCAATACCTATGCTGCCCTTGCTGTCCTATAACACCCCTTGTTAGCTAGTGCTGTCCCCGCAGTGGCCCACATTGTTCTCATATGGTCCTCAAACTGTCTCCTAAGTGTCCCTGCAATGGCCCACACTAACCCTTGCCGTCCCCATGGTGTCTCCACAATGTACCCACAATATCCCCAGCTGTTTTTTCCATACTGTCCCCACAATGCCTCCATGATGTCATGCAGTTTCCCTTATGCTGCCCCCACCTATCTTCACATCCCATATTATTTTTCAAATCTTTTCTCCATATTATCGTCATGATGTTGCATGCTGCTTTCCCATTCCTGTCCCCATTATATCCTCACACTGTCTTTATGATAACATGTGCTATTTTTTTCATATTGTCCCCCCCATGAGTCCCCATGCTGTTTTTCCTATGCTATCTGCATATTGTTCCCATGCTGTCCCTGCACTGTCCCCAAATCTGTCCAAAAATTATTCTCAAACCTGCCACAACCTTGTCTCCACCCTAATCTGCTCTATCTTCATCCTGTCCCCACTGCCCTAAGCCTGTCCCTATGCTGTCCCCTGGCCCCACTGGCTGTGGTGGCATCCCATGGTGCCATGACTACTCACTCACTCTTCCTGCAGGTGAAGTGGATCTTCTCCTCGGTGATGGACCTGAAGCAGACCATCGCCCCTGACTACAGGAACATGATCGGGCAGGGGGCTTAGAGCCTACCCCTCAAGGGCTCAGGCTTCCCAGGCCCTTGCAGGATCCCATCCATCACTTCCAGCAGCTCAGCCCCAGGTCACACACTCCTCTGACCTCGCTGCCTCTCTGACCCTGTGGTTCAGTGACCATGCGCTCCCACCCTCCCCGCTCTGGAGGACTCGTGGATAGCAGGTGCGCCCAGCCTCAGCAGCCTGGACATGCGCCACCCCTGGAGCAGTCTCCATGACCCTGGCTGAGACAAGAGATGCAGCTTCCTTCTGCAGGACATCCCTGCCTTATGAGCAGGGTGGTCACCCAAGAGGAGGCAGAGACCAGCATTGGCCATGTCCATCTGGGTGGAGACCAGCCTTGGAGACAGCCCTGTCAACACCAGCCTCTCCAGCACAGGGCATCTCAGAGAAACGTGAGGCTGAGACCCTCCAGAGAGACTGCTGTACTTAGCGTGGCAAACATGATCAGTGGCCCTCAGCAGAGGTTTAGAAAGGGCTGCTGACAGTCACCCCGATGGACTGTACCAGCCCAAGCCTAGAGGGCCTGTGCTGGGCATTTCTATGGATGGGGCCTTGAGCAATGGTTCATATTTCCCTCATGTGTCCTCTGATGTGGACCCTGAGTACTGTCCCTCCTCGTGGCCCACATTGCACACTGCTGGGTCCAACCCATAGGGATTGACCACCCCAGGCCTCTCTGTACTGGTGATAAAGAACTGGGCTCAGGATACTACCACCTCCCCCTGGAAGCCCAGTGCCACTCCTGGGAGGCACTCAAGGGAAGATCTGGGCTATCTGGTGGCTTCAGAACCACAGTAGGGGCAGAAGTGGAAGGCTGCCACCATCCACACCTCCAGGAAGCCTGGTGGGCAGGTCACAGGCAGGCCAGACTCAGCCTTCTGGTTCTCACGGACAGAGGAGGCCCAAGAGCACCTGTCCCAACCAAGGCACAGCTTGATGGCTGCTGAAAGCACCAGGGCTCAACCAGGCATGTCCTACAGGACCAATGTCCACTCCAGATCACTGAAAGCAGGAACCCCCAGTTGGACAAGGTATCCACAGAGAGAGCCCAATGACCCAGGAGCCAGGGTTTGGCTGGCACTGGACAGAAGGTCCATGTGCCATGGTCTTATCCAGCATGGGGAAAATGCCAAGCCAGACCCTCTAGTTGGAAGAAAGACACAAGTAAGAAAGGAAAGCAGACAGTACCCCGTGCTTCAGAAAAGCCCAAGGGACAGGTCGGTTCAGCTTTGTAGCTTTGTTCTGCTTGTAGTATTCTGGATCCTATGATATCCTGTAAGTTCATCTTTAACGGCAATAAAACATCCTTTAAACACTGTGTACCTCTCTGTGGTCTCATGTACTCAGGCCCAGGCATAGGTGAACAACACTGGGGGCTATATGAAGCCTCCAAGCCTTCTCTTCCACCCACCCCGGGCACTCAACCTTTCCTGCCTTAGGCTTTCTTTCACCTGGGCAATGCCCAGGCCTGCCCCTGTCACTCTGGGGGATGTGGAGGGCAGGCCCATCTCAGGCTACCCAGACAGAGCTTCCCGTACCAACCATGTCAAATGGAAAGTGTGAGTTTGATCTCTCAGCCTTGGGCTGCCATGACACAAGACGTAAGTGACTGAGCAACACACGGCACTGGAGGCTAGAGGCAATGGACAAAGTGTGGGCAGGGTTGTTTATCCTGAGGCTTTTCCTCAGCTTGCACATGTTGTGGCCCTTCTGTTTTCTGTGTCCTAATCTCCTCTGTTATGAGGACATAGACAGGATTATGTCCACTTCGCCCTTGTAGAGACCTTGTCTCCAAATGCAGCACATTCTGAGGCCTGGGGCTGGGATTTCCACATACCAACACGTAGGGGACATATTCATCCCCTAATGCTTAATTCAGGAGTCAAAATTTACCCACTCATCCCAACACCCAAGGAGTCTCACCCAATCCACCCCACCTCCAAGTTCCAAGGTTCACAGCAATATCACTTGTATCAGAGAAGGTTTGTCCCCACAGGATATGATCCCAGGCAAGAGGGGCAGGCAGGAGGCATAGAGATGGAGAGATATTTGCAGGAGAGGAGAACAGATGCTCAGGTGCAAGGGCAGATAGCTTTTGGGACAGGAAAAGAATAGAGCTGGGATGAAGAGTTGGGGGAGCAAAGGAATGGGGAGGACAAACAGGGCTCACACAGTTGGACAAGTGAACAATCATCATGGCTGCTCAGTGTCTGTAGACAAGGCCAGTTGTGTCTAGGCTGGTTGATGTGGATGTTGGGAGTCTGTCCTCCTGGAGATTAGGGACACAGATTCAGAGGAGAGAGGCCCATCCTCCTGATGTGTCAGGAGAGGCCTCTGGGGTCCTGGGATGGAGAAGACTGTGATAACTGGGAGGGACTAAGGTTGGATTCATGACTCAGGCCTTTCCAGCGGATGTAGACAGAGGGGAAGTGGGGGCCTCTCTGGAGCAGTCAGTTCTGTTTTGGTGTCCAGGATGTGTTTATGGTCAGTCTACATCTTCCCAACTTTCACAATTAACCCTCTAACCAGAAGCCTGTCTGTCCAGTGGGCAGCTTCCCTCCCTCCCTTTCTTCAAACCCCCTTGTTGCCCTTGCCTCCCCAGCTCCCTGGCCAAGGGTCAAGCTCCTGCTGGCTAAGCACCCACACAACCTACAGGATTGTCCTAAACAAGAGTGACTCCATGGCCTCCCCACTGGACACAGAGGCCAGCACAGCTTCATCCCACCTCCTGTTTCTCTGTGACACTCACAGTCCCCACTATCTCCTTCCATGTGCATTAAAGTCCTGCTCTCCTCCTGATCTCTTATGCTATCAGCTCCATAAACAGACACAGTGCCTTGACAATGGAGTGTCCTTCTATGTCCTTGCAGCTCTGGGACCCACCAAGGGGGCAGGCTGGACCTCCCAGGCTCTGTCCCTGAGCACACTGAGGTCCCCACTCAGGTTTCCATGTGTAACTTCTTGTGATGTTTGTGGCACGAGGTTCATGATGTATTTTTCCATAGCATAATGTTCATGTGTAATATCCATGGTCCAAAGCCCATGGTATGACTTCTATGATGTGACATCAACAATGAAACTTCCATGTGTGATATCTGTGGTATGACATTTGTGATATGATATCCATGATGAGTTATCTATGTGTGAATTCCATTGTCTAGTGTCCATGGTGTGGGGTCCATGGTGTGGGGTCCATGGTGTGATGTCACAGTGTGACTTTTGAAATGTGATGTTCATGGACAATGTGCATGGTGTGATGTCTGTGGTATGACATCCACGAGATGACTTGCATGTGTGACATTTATACATGAGGTGTATATGGTGTGACAGTCATAGTATGACTTTCCATAGTGTAATGTTTATGAATGGTGCCCATAGTGTGGCAACTGTGCTGTGACATCCATGATACTACATCTGTGGAATGACATCCATGATGTGACTTCTATGTGTGACATCCCTGGGTGACATCTGTGGTGTGACAACTATGATATGATATCCTTGATGAGATAAGTGTGTGTGACTCCCATGGTGTAATTCCTATATGTGATGTCCATATTGTGACATCCATGGTGTGACTTCCAATGGCATGTTCATGCATGACTTCCCTGGTGTAATAATCATGGTTTGATATCTTGCTATGATATCCACAATGAGACTTGCGTGTGTGGTATCTGTTCGTCATGTGCACAGTGTAACATCTATGGTTTGACAGATGTTATATCCATGATGAGACATCTGTGTGTGACTTTCATGGTGTGATGCTCAAGATATGACCTCCACAGTGTAATGGTCTGATAGTCATGTGTGATGCCCATGGTGTGATAACCAAGGTGTGACATGCATGGTGTGACCTTTGCGGCATAGTACTTATGAGAGGACTTCCATGTGTGACATCTATATGTGGCACCTTTGGTGTGAATTTCATTGTGTAATACTCATGTGTCATGGCTATTATGTGATGCCCACGGTGTGACTTGTGTAGTGTGACATCTACATGTAATAATGGAAGGCATGAAACTTCCATGTGTATATCTACATGTAATGTCTGTGGTATGACATCCACACGTAATATGTATGTTGTGGCATCCACAGGTGACCTCCAGGATGGGCCTAGAATGTAGAATGAATGCAGGACAAGACATGGGGAGAACACAACCATCTGAACATGATTCCTGAAGTCCATGAAGCCCATACCACATGGACTCACAGAGCCGCAAGTCACACTCTGGTTGGACTGGAGGAAGGACCTGCCACCACGAGGTGGGGGATACAACCCAGGGCTGTGGTTATCCTCTACCCAGCATGGATGCAGCAGAAGTGGAGACAGAGCACAGAAGGCAAGCTAGGGAGAGCAGGGCCAAGGCTCCTGGAAGCAGCATGAGGACATAAGGGACAGACATGCTAGGCCCACAGAGACCCTCTAGTGTCACCCCATTCTGACAAAAGTCACTAGGCAAGGCAGGGAACCCAGCTAGATACTTGCATACCAGAGACAAATGATGCCCCTCCTCACATATCCTACCCCATCCTGACTCAGCCGTAGAGCAATGGCCCTACCCTGTCCCTCACAACCCCACCCTGAGCTCTGCCTGTAGAGCAACCACAGACCCTGGGCAGCAGGAAGCTGGGCTCCGCATCTGGGGCCTGGATACACCCACCCAAGCCCCCAGGGCATTCAGCCTCCAGCCCAGTAGACCCTGGACCTCTGCCACCCTCCCAGGTCCCCAGTTCCTGACAGATACAGAGGGGACAGGAGGGAGTAGACAGGACCTGAGCAAGCCAAGCTGGTAGGCAGAGAACCCAGAGGACACAGAGGCCCACACAGGGACTCTCAATGGCACACACACCGTCACAGCAAGGGACTGTCACATGACACGCATACCTGTCCACACAGGGACAATCACTGACACACACCATCACAACACAAGGACTGCTGGATAACACACATGCTTATCTACACAGGAACTATCACTAACACACACACCATCATAGCACAGGGACTCACATGACACATGCCTGTCCACATGTGGACTGTCACTGATACACACACCATCAGGGCAGAAGGTCCGTTGCATGACACATACACCTACCCACATGGGGACTGTCACTGGAAGCCCATCACAGCATAGAGACCATCATGTGACACATATGCCTGCCCATCACTGACACATATGCCTGACCATCATCACTGACACATATGCCTGACCATCATCACTGACACATATGCCTGACCATCACTGACACATACCATCTCAGGACAGGGACTGTCGCATGACAAACATGCCTGCCCATGTGGGGGCTATCACTGGCACAGACTCTATCACAGCACAGGAACTGTCACAGACGCTGCCCCCTCCTTCCCTGCACCTCCTCCTTGTCCTGCCCTGTACCTCTCATCCCTATTTTCTCCTCTCACCCCACCTGCCCAGCACAGCCCACTGTGTCTCCCTCCTCCACTCAGTGACCATGGATCTCCATTCCCTATGTAGCTCTAGCTCTAGGGCACAGAATTCTCATCAACACGGAGTGGTGTGTAGCACCCAGAAGTCACCCACACTTGTTCCCAGGAAACTCTCAAGTCCTTCTCATGCTCTTGCCAAGACTGCACATGAGAAGCTCCTGGGGCTTCGTGGATGTCAAGGTGATATCGTGGCCAAGGCTACATCCTGGCATGAAGAGAATCGGTCCAAACCAAGAACTGAAAGTTAAGGTTGGCTTGATCCCCCCACCTTTCTGGTGCCTGGGACCTTTTCAAAAGCAGCTACAGAAGGGCAGCTGGAGAAAAGGATCCAAGGAAATAAGGCTACTCCATGACAATATGTAGGTGAAATCCCCAGGTGATCAGCCAAACAGCCAGGTGCAGAAACAAAACAGGAAGCCATAGAGCACAGGAACCAGGGGACAGACTGGGCCTCAGGCTGCTGGCTCCTAGGTGACTCGCACCCAAGCAAGGTGGTCTTCACTGAAGATCAAATGACTGTTCTCATTGTCCACTCCATGCTGCCAGCCTACTACCCCTGGGTACTCACCAGCTCAGCCAGGAGAGTGTGTGTGGGAGAATCCAGGTTATGGGGCTGCATGGCTCTGCTCTTCAGTCCAAAAACCACATATTCCAGGCATCACTACTCTTTGGCCAGACTGCTGGGTAGAGAGGTGCAGACAAACCACTGTGGATGCAGAAGTGAGAGAAAATTAAGTGTGTGATGTTGTCAGTGTTTTAATTTTCAACCTTTGTCATTCTTTGTTATCACAGCTTACACTGGCAGAGCTGACTGAGACATATGTCATCAAAATGCTTGCCCACACTTGAAAT